TAATATTTGTAGGGTATGCAAACATATGTGAAGATGAAATTAGTCTCGTTTGAACCTTAGTTTAACAATTATCTAATGCTATAACTTAGTTGTACGCAAATTGCACCAACACTCCAGAGTTTAAACGACCACGACACTGTAATATCAACATTCAAGATTTCATGTTCAAATCGTTTTTGGCAAAGCGAAATCGATGATCGCCGGCTTGCAATAATCATTTCGGGTGCTCGGTGTTGCATATTTTGGAAATCAGATTTCACTCTGTGAACATTCGATTAAACGTTAAATTCACCAAACTATTTACTCATCGCTTTATCGGCTTTCGGCGTCGAAATTCAGATTGATTAATAAATATAACGATTCGATATTTTCCTACAAAAAAGTCTTTAATTGTAGGTGGGTCAATACTATAACAATAAAGACGGAACTTAAAAAAATATCAACGTACTTGAATTATTTTAGAATTGTATGAGACAACTCAGATCAGATATCACTAAGTAATCCTAAAGAGATTAATGTTCCACTCAAAGTTCTATTCGGATGCAGTCGGACGGCAAACGTGATTAGGTTGAAGAGAATGTTTCACTTTGAGGAACGAAATTCGCCCGCTATTATATTAAAGCAATTCACAACTTTCCAGAAAATCGCTGCCTTACTGTGCAATTTTTGGTTGGCAGTGACAAACATAATTATGAATCTGCCTAGACAATTGCTCATTATTACTTCTTCGCTTTCACAGACAGATTCCATTTAAATACTAATAACGAAATTAGCGATTAAAACGCTACTATGCACGAACATGTTATTCTTGTAGTATATATATTTTTTTAATTATTATAAAATTTATGATTACATACTTAAACGTGAAATAGATTATAAAGTGAGTAATAAAGAAAGCCTTTCTTTTTAACACTGTCTTTTCTCAGAGGTAACCAGAATTCGAAGGGGAATAGAGAAACTAAATCGGCAATATCTAAAATTCCCGGTGTGAATAGTTCCTGAGTATCATGAAAATTTAAGTAATCACTGAGTCGACGAAAAAGAAAAAGATCCAGTTTTGAGGACGAAAGTACATTTATTTAGTAGGACACCTTCAAGTAATCCAAAGTAATATTTCTAACCGTCTAAATTATACCAGTATACGACACATGAGATTTGCCACTGTTACCGGGTTTAATAATTATTATTAATGAAGAGAGACTATTTTTTTATACTTTAAACCTTAAAAACCATATAAAATCGTTTGAATATATATCATATTTACCAACAACATGTTTTTCAAAGTCGTCAACCTTTTAATATAACATAACAGTCCCCAAATACTTTAATTCTCCTTGTCCACGCGATCAAAACGATTTGTCGGAATGATTTCGTATTTTGAGGGGTAGACATAAAACTGCATAGTACCCAAATAGTTACAGAACGTGGAAGTCATTTTTGACAGTGAATTTTAATGATATATTTAATATTTGTTATATATTCCTTTGTTAAAATTATAACGATAAGAACAAAGATTGTGAAGGAATAAACTCTGTAACTATTTCAAATTTCGTGAACTATAAAACTCAGTATAAGTGGACAGCCTACATATCACTCTAAACGTTTGTCCAACTGCAACTTAAAGCTTTTATGGTTACAGGCTTAAGCGTTTTATTTTAATACCCTTAGAGGTAGAATATCGTTATTTTTACTGTAAAGTTTGTAGTTAAGTATTGTTTTGTTTCCCGCTTATACCATTTTATGTCTTCTGTAAAATTGGTATTATCGTACCTTTTTATAAATTTATGAAATTTTGGAAAATTTTATCCTTATAATTCTATATGGTTGATAGTATGTGAAGTTAACATGTCGTTCCGAAATTAGCTTATGAATTAAATCAGTATGAAAATGGAACGTTTGCAAAAGAAGCCGAAAATTTCTAATGACGCTAAAAATTCAAATGTGTTATGAAGAAACTTATATTATTAGTTCGAGTCTTTTAATCAGATTACATTCCAACTATATATAATACAGCCGAATTCCTAAAGTTATTGGAATGTTAGTATTTTCTTTGTACGTAAAGTGAACACGATACTTTCTTTGTAATATCTTACAATATAAAACTTCTTAAACCATGATGGTTTATCGTACAAAATATTATGTCAATACAAAAAATATATACAGATCAAAAAATTTGACTTAATATTGAACTTCGAGCTATAGTTATGATAAAGTTAAATTATTTTTTTAAATACGAAAGGGTGCAAGAACTTTATTAAATGACAAACAATCGCATGTCTACGTTTTTTTGACTTCTATTGCTCGTCGCATGTTCGCACGCGTCACGCTACAATCCTACGTACAACCAATTAACGATCCGACTATTTGTTTTTTTGGAAAAAAATACAACCAATTAGAAACCGGGATGATAAGTTGTTACATTAAAAACCAACAGCATACTTTCGGAAACCAACCTCTAGATATAATGCAATAAATACTGTCATAAATGGTAATAAAACCATATTTCCGAACAGTACTGAACGTAAACCTGTTTAAAATTTACTTTGTTCATTTCAACAACAAACTAACAACGAGGTTGTGACCAAGCTTGTGCAGTCTTTTGAATATTTAAAAACTTGATACACATTTCAAGAACATTTACTTTATATTTAATTTTCTTTCGAATTTGTTTTGTTTGTTGCAAATAGGATAGCGATAGTCTTGAATTGTTTTTGTTCTAGATTTATATCTATTGTTTTCATTATATAGTTGGTTGGTTTTTCCGTAATTGTGATCTTATAAAGCTAAGCTTGAACGCCGTACTTATTGAATTACATACTATTTTTAAAGCACTATCGTTCTAGTCGATCCTAAGTGTTGTTTTATATGGTTATAAAGGTTTATCGTTTTCTTTGCTTTGCTATTTGATTTTCATTACAAAAATTATTCTGCTTTTATTATTTAACGTATACACTTTAATAATTACTATAATAGTAACTATTATAAAAATCCTTATAAGATATAATATAATATTTATCAAACCTTAATATTGTGGAAGAATAAATAATTTTTCACTGAAAAGAATGAAGAATCTCTTCAATATATACTTAATACAAGTGCGCTCTAGACCCTTATGTATCATCAAAACGCCAATATTATTCCCATTTTATTTCTTTTGTAACAGTGTTCGTCAAGGCATTAGTTACATCTGAAGAGCTGCCAACCTTACAATTTATTAATTTTGAACCCAAATAATCTCAAAGAATCGTACTCAACTTCTTTTTTAAAACAAATTACTTTAAATGTTGTGTTAGTTTCAAAATCTGCTGAATCATTAAATACATAGGTCCGAGGTCTGTCATCTACCTTTATTAATATCAAATCATAAATTTAACAGAAACCTATAAATAGGCTATTACTAGAAGATATAAAAGATAGACGTGTTAACATTTAAAATTAATATATTATTTAGTGAAGCGAAGTGTAAAACGTGGATAAAAATAAAAGAATATTTTTATAGGAGTCGGTTTAATGTCAATGGAGGAAATACCATGATTTCAGGAAACGCATCCCCTGAACTGAGCGTAATGGGGGAACAGCAAGAGAATAGGGTTACCAAGAATCCAATTTGAATATGGATAATCCCCATTATACTTGCTAAATGCTTTGTTTGTCCTACAATACAGACCTTCATTTTAACTAAATCATTTTGTTACGAAATATAACCGTCTTGAGGACACAAAAGTTAAAACAAGTGAGATACAATTTAACTAAACTACATATATGTAATCACAGTCTTACTTGCTGTAGGTTTTATCATGGAACCAACAATAAAATAAATCTACAACTACAGCTAAAGGCAACTGATTTTGAAAAATACATAACTAGCATTTATTCAATTTTTTGTCTCCCTTTTGAGCTAGCACTCCGTAACAATCCCACGTGCAATAACAATACAAAGCCATAACGTTTATGCTTTCTAAATGTTTCAGTATCACTTCGAATTCGAGTCATTTATATGATTATGATATGAACATAGATTTAACGGCATTTTTTTTATGATTTCACATTATACATATAATCTTTGATATGTATTTTGTATATTAACTCAGCATGCTTAAAAAATTTCATCTCGTTAATTAGACAAGAGTATAATTATATATAGTCCGAACAGTTGTAAGATAATTAAATGTTATTCCCAAAAACGACCACCCTGTCGTCATATAATTGTTAATTCTCCTTTTATAATACATTCTGGAGATAAAGTTTTATAATAATAAAAGTTTTAAGAACATTATATTAGTTCTGGTTGCTTGTATTAATAGTTATATGACATGTCAGTTTAAAATCGTGGTAGGTTTTCCAATGATACCGATGAGATTTTTTTCAATTTAGAGAAAAATTAATCGTATATTCTTAATATTTTGTGTTATTTATAAATTATTGGTTTTTATATTATTATTTGAGGTACTCGCACGCCTTTAAAACAATATTTTGGCAATCCATCATCTACAGCTTCATCATCAATTAATTTAAATTTCATAGTAATCCGACTCAACAAATATTATAACAATATATCATATTCATATATCATATTACATGATGTAGCTTTTATATGTTACAAAGTGAAACTCCAAAACGTACTTTGAACCTGCTACTAACAGCTGTATGATCTCTCGTTACTTTTACTTTTTCAATTCGACAGATGCTGTTACAACATAACAAACTAAGCCGCGATCGATATGAAATATCAAACGCGGCAAAGAACTCAAAAATAAAAATACACATGTAGTTATAATTACAACAATCGACTTATGACGAGATACAATAATATAATTGTGATTATTAGAAAGTACTATACCAATGAATGCGTCCAAATTTTTCGAATTAGATAAACAATTTTTCATAGTATATATGTAGAGAGACGCTCGCGGGTGATGAGATGATAGTTGTAACTTTGGGTTACGGTGATGTCATGACTATGGGTATTTGATTTTCGGGTATGTTGTAACGTCAGCATTATGGCCGCTGTAGCCGGCCTGTATGGACTTGGTGATGAACAGCGTGGGAGACATCGCCGTGGTCAGACAAACGCAGAGCGCTCCGAATCCAGGGATGATAATACAGAGGCGTGAGTATATTTACTTTGAACATCTCATAACACATTTATATATATACACTCGTATCCTTTACAGTGGAAATATTGCTAAGAAATTCGAACAAGATTTAATTTCCTAACACATCTTTAGTTCTGTAACATAAATTAAGCTGTACCCCATTTAGCGTTGTAATTTGTTGGTACGATAATTATTTTATAAGGACAATGTTGAGATTTAAGATTTTTTCTATCAATATGTAATAAGCCTTTCTATATGCTCCCAAAAAACTAAGAATGTTTTTATTGGAACATTTTCTTATGTCTGAATAGTTTTTTCTGAATTAGTTGTTTACAACATTTCAGCACAGAACATCGATTTTATATTAAGTAACTTAGTTTTAAATGTAACATATTTTATTGCAATTAATATGCATAAGTTTGATGTATCTGTAATCAACTTACGGATCAATTTTCAATTTACTCCGCTTAAAATATTCAGACGTTTAAACAACGCGACCATGTGTGAATATTCCGAGGAAATAACGCTATAACTAAAATTTGCATATCTTTGCCGAAAGACAGGTAGAGTTTTTTGTTACTTTTTGGAAAATAATTCGACCTTGTTTTTGAAGTAAATTTATGTACACGTTTCTGATACACGAAACTTATAACGTCTAATTTCAGAGGCGAATTTAAAATACTTATAAATATTATACATATTATAACGACAAAATAATATCTATATTTTATTATTTTCGTCTAAATCATCGCATTAAAATCTTATTAATAATAAGCTTTATAGGTATTAAAGAGGGTTATAACCCAAAATACGTAACAATGGGATAACTCCAGCCGGAATAAACATATAACAGTGCCCAAGGCTGAATCCGATTCAAATTATCTACAAACCTGCTCTTACCTGGGATTACACGAAAGACATAAATTATACCTTTGAAGCTTTTAAATATAACATAATACTATAATAAAATATATAAAAATGGATAAGTATATTCGATTTTTCTTGTAGAAAAGAAAAAGCGCTCATTCATTCGTTCCCAGAGTACAATTGCGTACATAAAACACGGTATATAAATTTAAAACAGAAATTATATAACATATTTAATGAAAAAAGTAATGTTGCATTGTCATATAAAAACAAGCAGGCACATATTGCGAGAGCACTTTATATCGCTTTGCATACCGACGTCACATGTAAATGGTTAGCGTTTATGTTTAGTATCGGTCTAGCTTTCAATGTAACAGTTTGATATTAAATAACTTTGATTTAATCATAAAATTACACTTAAAACATCTGAGAGGATAGTTTGATGAAAACAATCGGTTGTTTAATAAAAAAACCCACCGCAGTTTGAAGTGAACGGGAAAGTTTAGAGGTGAAATTTTAAACTGTTGTTTTCTATGAACCAGAAAGTTTGGCTAACTTTAAAAGTTGGTACAGCATGTGTTGAGAAGCTGTACACTTCGATGTATTGATTGTAAATATATATCTATTACTTGGCAAATAATATCGCTAACGAAGTCTATTTACTACGTTTACCAAAATTCGTTTTACCTTATTTTTTCAGAATAATCAAATATTTCACCAAGTTAAACCAGCGTAACAGTTATTAACAATTTGCGTGTGGTAAAAACTAAACCAGGAAAATACTGAAAATGTAGTAGGTACATGGGATGAAAAATGTCTTCATATACCCCACTACGAAATCTGTAAAACGCTTTCGTTTCCACTGAACTTTTTTGGAAGCATTTGTAATTCATAAACTGATCTATACAAGAAGTTTTTTCTCTAATACAGTTTTCTGTCCTAACAAAATTAATTGCTGAATACACAACAATCATACCGATTTTAAAAGGACTCGCGAAGGTCTCAGATCTCATTATTGTATGGTCTCAACTTAACTATTTAACCACAGTATAGCGGAGATAGCTAATGAAAATGAATAAAATTTTAATGTTTTTAAATAGTATCAGTTTTGTATTTACACTCGAAATTGGTAGTTGCGGTCCGTGATAATCCAATCGTACGATCAACACACCTGAAATATTGAAATTGAGTGTTAATTAAACATACTTATATATTATATTCAATGAAACTCATGAATATCAGAGTCATTAAGTCAATTGCCACGCGCATGATGCTCATTTTAATCCACTTTTATTCTATATAAATAACTTTCTAATATATAATAACTTTGGTATATAAACTAATTAGAAAGTGAGGAATAATGAGCTAGGATATACATAAAGTATGTGAAAAGAATTGTGAATTTGGATATATGATTGTTTTGCAGTAGAATTGGCAGTAGGTATCAGTATATATTTGTATAAGTAATGACCACCAACTACCGAACTTAAATTATAGAAATATAGTAGCGATTAATTCAATCAAATTAAAAAAAAAACAATAATTCTTAATATAACACTAAAATCAATATGGTTTTATATAAAAAAGATTCCTAATTTTGCAATCGAAAATAATCTTACATTATCAGAGTTTAAGTAACCGACGACAAGAAGCATACAAATGAAAATGCTACCTGCGAAGTTATAAATTTGTTTACCTATTACATGTAATCGTTAAGTTCAAAGAAAATACGTTTGAAATCTATTATGTTGTTTGAATATTTACATTTTATACTCGTTTTGTTAGACATAAATTCGTATTTTATATTAATATATTGATTTAACTTTTTATTAATTAATTAGTGTTTACAATAATATAAATACAAAACTATACAGCTTATTCAAGTTTATACATATCAGTTATTCCTATATAGTAAAATCAAATATCTTATATATATGTATATAATATAATTTAGTACAATTCGGGGTTTTTTACAACATTTTTACAGTTGGTTTGTTTATTCAAATAGCGTGTCACAGAGCGAACTGTCTCATTCATTTAGAATGAGTTGTGTTCCTGTTCGACTTACGAAGCATTACGTAAAGTAAAGCATTTAAAAACAATACTGTCTGCTATATTGATTGACATAATTTATTAAAATTGCCTCAATTATATAAGGCAACTTCAGTAGATAATGAAAGAAAATCGTTGACACCATTTCAGTTGAAATAATCTAAATAATCTTTGTTTAATATTAGATACGTCTATAGAACTTATTTCACAAAACGGAAAATTGATTATAGATACTGGAAATATATAAATATGTATAATTTTCGTAACAATGTATATAGAATTTCATATTATATATAGCTTTGGTCAAATTCAAATTATAATAACTTAGACTGAACCCGCTGAAATGTACGAGTATGTTTAACGAAACGTTATGCTGATGAGCACTGTGTCAAATCTAACACCCAAACTAAGAATTTATAGCCTTACTAATACTAACTTATAGAGTACGCTTAGCATAAGTTTTGATACACACTACACACGAACCGTTAGGCGTTTCTCGTTCTATAAACTGCTTTATTATAATGATTTGTGGCTGAAAAACTGTTAATTGTCCGTATGTAGTTAGAAATACGGACTTAGGGTCATGCATTTTTTCGGACATGGTTTATATTAACTTATGTGTATGTTACTATATATGTTGAACTAAGTTCTCACCATAATTCCATTGGTTTGTTCCAAAAAGAAAATTATCATACATTCCAAAAATATCTTCTTTTATCTTTCCTATAGTAAAGTGTAAAACTCCATTTGAATATCGCGGTTCAAAATAATACTGTAAAGTAAGTTTTTTTTTTTAAGTAATTGCATTGTCATCCGATATTCAACATTTTATAAGGTTTAATCTGCAATTTATTTTACTTTACTTAACTATGAGCTCTGCAGAGTCAATTTCACTCTTCATATACTCCGCAGTCTTTTCTCTTATTCTTTTTTTTTTAGATTGAATTTACTCTTTATATATAAAACCTCTTTTCAACTAATTTTTTCTTTAAATTATTGAACAAGAAGGTTACATTTTAAACTAATATGTGAAATTTAAAGATGATATCAGTTTTACATAATGCAAACATTTATGTTGAAGGCATTATATATGTCGTTTAGATTTGTGATAGAAGCCATAGTTTAAATTAAAATGACGAGTTATTTACATTATTATACATTGAGACTTATAATTAGATTATTGCGATTGAATTATGTGTAAAATGCAATAGTCATTATTTTTTAAATAAAACTTCTTATTGCATTACAATATGCAACATAATAATCATACCTTTCAAAAATTAAAGACGTTGCCCAAAACCATTCAGTCTAAGAATGGATTCAAATTTTCAAATATTCACGGAAAGACAAATTATCTTGAACGTGACAGATAAATTACAACGCCACGCCGTATTCTAGAGTTCTAATTAAATTCAAGACACGTTTAAGATTTCATTAGTGATCATTTAATACATTTGTGTATTAATATTATATTTTTAGTGTTCATCATTTTACTACAAAGTCATATTAAATATATTTCAAATATTATGAGATATATTACATTTTAAACCAAACCTTTACCGCCATCTAGCGGCAATCCACTAAACTATTATGCCCGTTCACTGGTACCTTAAGATACTAGCGCCATGCGAATGCACCACGGCAATAATAGGAAAACTGTTGTTATCGCACAGTATAACACAATATAAAGATGTCCTTCTGGATACTAAAATATAAGCACTCAATAATAACAAATCAGTTTAAAATATTGTCACGAGGTGGCGCTGCTATGAGAAATGCATCGCGCCTGCAACAGATGGCGCTACTAAGTTTTAAGGCTAGAAAATTGTGAAACGACTGCAAGATCACGTCCAAATTTTGTTCATTTAATGTTATAATTAAATAAAATATATTATTAATAACATAACATTAACCTGGGAATGTATCTGAAATAAAATAAAAACCATATTTCAACGTTCCGTTCAATTATATTCAACATGAAAACTAAATTATATTATATTGTCTCATCGCGATGGAGACGTCCTCATATGCTTTTAATTTGTCTAAATAAAAAGCATTTATATTTATGTTTCCGTGTAGGACTTGCATAGAGCGA